TATAATATTTTAATAAAAGACAATGGCCATGCACAAAGTGTTTAATTGGTGGAAGGGGTGAGGAGATAGAAGAGAGGAAGGATCCCTCTGAGTGGCATACGTAAAGCTATACTGCTCTCTCTATGATTAATGTTGGCGTTTTGTTTCAACTGAACTGATTACTATAGACAAATATTATATATAAAATTTTCATAAAACTAGATTTACACGACTATTTTATCACCAAATTGAATGAAGTATGAACATGCAGTCTAAAAGCATTTAACATTATCTACACTAGTTATGCCTTATTTTTAAATTTTGTCATATACCTTTAACTGCTGATTGACCTTGATTGGGATTTTGTTTCTAATAACAGTACAGAATTTCTTTATAATCAAAATGGTGTTTTATAAAATAACAGTGACACAAATACCTGCATGCTATCTTGCTGGATAAAACAAAGTTATATATTCTATAAGATAATTTTTTGCTATTAACCTATTGGAAGATATATAAGTGGCAAACTATTTCTCTTGTGTAAATGATATTATAAAACTTAAAATGATAGATTAAATTAAAAGTTAACCATACCAGTCATATTTCTTTTCCCGGCCTTAATTGTATATTTACCTTACTTGAGTATAATTATGTTTAGTAATTTGTAGATTATAATAATGTTTTAATACTTTTATCCAAGTAGAAAAGTAAAACTTTATTCTCTATTCATAATACAGTTTAACTAATGAGGCTAGATAGATATAAATTAAATAACACTCAATATCAAACCAGTAAGGAGTAAATTTTATTCCAATGAAATGTTATTTGAGAAGTCTTCTCCTCCAGTGACCATACAAACTCAAAAACCATAAGACTTAAGCAGTGGAGTAGCATGGGTGTCAGCCGCCCGGAGCGGAGGAAAATTTCACTGCCCCCTTAAAAGACTAAAATTCAGTTTTGTCACAGAATAAGTAATGAAAAATTTCGTGCTCATTTCAATGTCCAAATCCTAAGTGTGACAAAAATATGAAATGAAATGGTTCAAATTTTTACAAGATATTATTTATTGTGAAATTTTGTCTACTATGCTATGCCACTGGACTTAAGACTATTCAAGGTCTTTGGTTTGAAAGTTGTGTCTTCTTTATTAATGATGTGTGGCATTGAATGTGAATGAAGGAGAGAGTTCCTTTATTTCAATATAAAATTTTATCTGATAAAAATGGAATAATAATTACTTATAAGGTTAATTTTTTTGGTAATTCTTCATTCTCAAAAATTTTAATGAAAACATATTGTTTAATTACAGTATACATTACTAAATTTTAGTTTGGCTCCACGTGTTCAGAATTTGCTGAAGTGTTTGTCAAGTGATGAGCACATATACACAAGCATCGGTTCATTGTGAGAACAATGAATGTTTATCCCAGATCTAGAAAATGGGCAATTCTCAAACGATAATTTATGCTGCTGCTTTTATAGTTATGAGTAGTACAATCTGTTAATGAAAAATAAGGAAACTAGTTTGGCTTATAAATTTCATCTGTCCTTACTCCACTTTTAACATTCCGATTTACTTTGTAATAACACATTTCTAAACGACGCTATTAATGAATCTTTCTGCTGCTTTAATTCGGTGACAATATTTTTCATCTTGATTACCATTTCAAAAATAATGATCAAAAACAAGAAAATACTTTATTTGTAGTATAGGAATAAATTTTATCAAATTAGTAGTAGTAATTATCATCATTAAAGAAGTTGTCAGATATACAACAGACTGATCAATATTGGAAATTAATTCTGTAGGCCTACGTTTTAAGCATAAATGAACTTAGTTTATTAAATATGAAACTTGTTTTTATAAATGTTAAAACATTTTATTCTTAGAAGTTTTATTATGATTAAAATAATACTGTAGTCATTTCTATAAAAATATATTTTAAAATATTTTTGAAATAATTCAATTGTCAGATATTTACAAGAAAATTTTGCATTATTGATTTAATCTACATCTCCCTATATTATATGAGTCGCTCACTTGCCAAATCAACTCCACAAAACAAGAAGTATAAATGTGAGGTCAGCCGATTACGGGTGAGGGGTTTACGACAGCCGAGCGGTCAATACTGTCGTGTGGGTGCGGAATGACTCACCGAGACAGGTTTACCACATAAAACCGTTTAATAATATACATAAATTGTTCTTACAACAATCCAATAAGTCGGGCCAGAGCCTATCCAACTATTGGTTTTTGTACCAGTTCCCAAAAATCTGAAAGTTTGAGTGTTTGATCGGTCCCTGGAGAGCTTTCGGCACTGTGGACGCAGAGAACGATGGCTCCGGGGCACGCACCAGCACTTGTAGTGATGTCCTCGGTTGACAAGTCGAACCTCGCCGATCCTAGAGTGGACGGGTTGGCGAAACCAGTTCCTAGGTCGTCGCAAGAACCTTCGTTGTGTCTCGGTCGGGAGCACCAAATCCCGACAGGTGAGCACTACACACCAAAACCCAAGACCCCATAAAGTTTCCAAAAACGCAATTTTATCAATTTTTCCACCGCGGTCGCCTCTCCATTGGTCTCTCCTCGTCACATGGTGAAAATTCGAAACCCCAGGAAGGGCGCGGGAGAGGTCAACGTTGCGTCAGAACACAACTCCTCTCCAACCTCGTTTTCTTCGACTTTACTCTATCTATTGTTTAAAATCTTTTAACAAGACAAAAGGTTCATTGTTTAAATCCGATCTTTAAGTTCGCTCTTTCACACTACAAAACTTGACTCATTTAAAAAGTCGTTAATGGCCTCCTTTCGGACCCCGTTTGGGTCCTCACATAAATACTGATGATATAAATTTTTTAAAATTCCTTTTAAACTTTAAATTTTAATGAACATTGTAGAATATATCTTTATATATCGTTACATTAGTTATGTTTTAATATAATGATATATAAAACTAGTTATGAGAAAAATGTAAAAATAATAATGATTATATTACGGATTTACAAATAGAGTTAATCCATTTGGCCTATGAATGGCTCGTATATTGAGTATTTCATGTCTTCTTGATTACATTATTTTCAAATTTTTGTACAATGCACTCTCAATAATCCAAACTAATTATTGTATGGGAATGGTTTGGACTATTGGGGTTATACAAAATTTAAAGAAATAGTAGAAGTCAAAAAATGTTACAAATGCAGTATAACATTGTTTTTGATATATGTTTATGCTAAAATGTACAGTACATACAAATTTTATAAACTATTTTTTAAAAAAATTAATATTTAATTTTGTTTTTGGATGGAACATTTAGCAGAAAAAAAAAAGAAAAAATTGGTTCATATTAGCCAGAATGCATTGTGTATTTATGCTGATTTTATTTACAAAATTATTTGGTTTTTTTTATCGGTAATTAAAAGGTAATGGAAATAAATAATACATTTTTCAAATTAGAAAACACTAATAGCAATTTGTTCAAATTTTATTTAATTGTGACAGTAATCTAAAACATTAATAATGAATTAATTTTCCTCAGTTCAGGAAAGAATACTGGTGTCAATGCTTATATATCATTACAAAAAATTAGATCCAATACTACGAAATGTCTTCAACACTTTCATATAGCATGGTTAATTTTAAAAATAAATTTTAATTAGTACAAAAGAAATTTGAAATGAAAACATTGATCAATTCAAATTACTTTTTGATTTAAATTCAGATTGAATTTTTAATGTATTAATAATAAAAAATTGTTTTGAGTTTGATTTTGGTGTTAATTTACATGCTTAAAAATATTACACAAATTACAATATCAAATACAAAGCTGTTATTTATTGCTCACATATATATAGAATGTAAAGATACATTTTCACAAAAGAAGGGATGTCTTAAGGTTTACTTCTGAGCTTCTAATATGTTTGCTGTCGTTGAAAGTGATGGAGAAAAGGTAGTCGCCATGCTCTGACTTCCCTTATTCTCAAGAAAAGCATCAAAATACCTGCTTGAATTTTTTTGGATCCTAGAGAATACAGAAGTGAATGACTGAAGAAAATTGTCTGTTACTTGTACTGATTTAATATTATCTAATGTCTACATTAATTCAAATAGATAGTCCATCTCAGAGTTTTACTTCTAGTTATAGTTAAAATGAAAACAATTCCTTGGTTGATTGATCAGTTCAACTAATTATTCATAATATTTCTAAGATTGAGTTTGTTTCAAATTAAGTGATATGGATAATACAGTAATTTTATTTAATTGCATATTTGAATTGTTGGTATTTAACAATCATTACTATAAAAAAGAAATGATGTCATGAAGGAGATCAATACCGTGGAATCATAGACAAAGTTTAGTTGTCTGTATCTCCTTAGACTTTCATTTGATATCCATTGAGAAATACACTATAACAATTGCTAAATCTATCAGCAAATAGTTTTATGTTTGTTTGAAAAACAATTTCTCAAATTAACATATTAAGAAGCATAATTCATTTAGATTACTGAAAAATGGTTTTATTTTACAAATTACGTTAGATTTTTAACATGCCAGTCAACATTTGTGTTTAATTATATTACATCAATTTTGCAATCAGGTATATCTGTATGGTGACTACTAGAAACTTTTTGATGAGTAGTGCTTATTTTATGATTAAGAAAAGTATTTGATCAGAAAAATTTTATTTTAATTACTGACAATAACAAATATTTTGAGATTAGATCTTGAATAATTAACCTCATTGTATTATAATTTCCAGAATTAAAAGTAAAAAGTAATTATATCAAAATTCTGAATAGTAAGTTATTTTTAACATAATTTGGTTCACTCTTGACAAAGTATGAAAAATTGTTTACAAATTTATGTTTGTTAAATAGTTTTATATTAGTAAATTCAAACCTTCGATAGTTTTTATATTAGAAAATACCATATTAATAACTGATATTAGCTGAATGTATTTAATAATAATAGAATAATTGATATTTTATATTCAAATATTACAAAATTATTATTTCTTTCAAAGTGATCAGGCAAAGAAGCTAGAAGATCATTATTTATTAACTAATACAAGAAGGTTCCTCATTATTTAATTCGTCTTTTTAAGTTCCGTGATATTAACAAAGGTAATCGTGTAGCAATTTTATTTTTTCAATTAAATGTGCTTTGCTTAATAAAATGTTGTATTAGATAGATGAATAATTTAAATTTTAATACAGTAGCAGTGCTAAATTTCTATTTAAATCAATCATTAAAATTAAATAAACTTTTTAGCAAAATTTCTTTAATTCATTTTTTATTCTCTGTTACAAGTAAAGTCCCAAAGGGATGGAGATAATTGCTCTCAAAATTAACAATGATAGTCAATTGAAAAGATTAATGGCCCTGAATATATTTAAAAAATAATAAAATATATAGAACAGAACAAACACTACAGATTTGAGTGTTTACTTTTGTTCTAATGTTTACAATAATGTAAATGCAAACAGTTAAAAATTTGAAATACTTTTAATGGAATCAATCACCAGTTCAATTATAATACATAATGCCACAAATGTTTTAATAATAAATTTTAACCAGATACTGGAAATTTGGAAAAATATTATTATTTAAATACAAATATGACACAAAAAAAAAGACAGTTGTGTACATATAAAAGAAAAATATAATCAGATGAGAATTTTCTGTTAGTTTTCAATTGGCAGACATGTTTTCAAAACTGAAAAGCATTTTCTGTATTAGTTGTTGTTTTTTGTTATGCTATTTAGTTAGTTGATTAACAAATGGCTAATTAATGTTTGTTGACAGATGTTAAACAGAAGCAGATGTTTGTGTAATTTCTGGATGTAATGTCAAGTGTGTGTTTAAAGTTTTGTTGAACGTACTGCTTTCAGTGTTAAGCTTTATCATTACTAAGGTTCACTTTTAATTTTTAGTAAACTTTTATTGTTATAAATATTAATTCTATCACATTTTTTTTTTTAATGATACTAACAGATTTCATTTAAAAATAGTGCTTTTAATTAACGTGCATTTTTATTTCTGATTTATTTGCTAAGAGATTCATCACAATGAATTTTTTTTTAATCACAAAAGTATCAAACTACATAACACTGTTTTCTTTGTAACAAAAACACAGGATGTCTACAAAATAAGTATACAATTTTTGTATTCTATTACAGAAATAAAACTTGAAATAACAATTCACAATTTAAAGAACATAAAACATGTAATAAACTTAAAACTGCACATAATGATTAATTTGTATTTGAGTTTGTATTTATAGTTTAAATAACGTTCTAAAATCTTTTATAAATTCACATTTGTTCCAAAGGATGTTCCACCGAGTAACTGTTCTGTTGCACCTGGAGAACTCAGGAGTTAAAAAATGTTTGTGCAGAGATCATTTTTGTTTATACACACCAAAAATTAGTTCTGTGTTTGTTATTACATATATCCTAGTGTGGTGTGATGTAACATAATACATGTGAAAGTTTTTTAATAATCAATAAATCTCTACATGTGCTCCCTTGGTTGAATTGGACTATCGTCTTGTTATCCTGCAAGACGATAGTCCAATTCAATCCAAGTACATTAAAAAATGTTTGGTGTAGCCAAGAGGAGGGCTTTACTGATGCGTTTTCTGAGTTCAATAAGTGATGCTATCTTGTTCTTATACACAATATCCGTAATGAATCCCCAAAGGAAAAAATCGGGGTGTGATATCTGCTGTTCAACACACTTTATGTTGATTTGAATTTTGTTACTCATTTATTAATGTTTCTTTGTGTCAGTGGCTGTTTCTTGTATTTTGTTTGGAAATTACATTGAAATGTTTATCAAAACTGTTGTTAATGATTTTGATTCTGCAAACCAAAGCACGTGCACTGCTTTTTCTTTGTAGCATAGCCATTTTTTGTTTCTTTTCACATTCAACAATGTTTTTCCTTTATGAGACACTCTTGCCATCCACCATGTGTGTTAAAAAAACTTTAATACTTGATGGATCTTTTGATAATCAAAATAAAAGTTTTTACGGGTGTATTTCTTTTAATAGAATAGACTTTGAAGTTGTATACTTATTTTGTGGACATCCTGTATAATCATCATTTGCCTTGGAGTTTTTCTCTTATATGTGTATACTCAATGTAAACTGTTACAATTTGAAAATGATAACTTTAAGAAACGATGTTTTAATACAAGCTTAATTCATTAATGTATTTGAATAGAATATCATCCTGGTGTTTGGCTAGGCAGGTAGCAAGCATTCTTGCTGTGGCCCCAATGTATCTTGTATTGCTCCCCATTATGGGATTTTCCAGTGGTACCACATAAACTCCCAATTTCTCAAAAGTAGAAAACTTATCCCGATCGTTGCAGATGAGTCTGTGCAAGTTTGGTAGCGGAGAAAGGGCAGGAGACCATTTATGCAAGATTGAATATGCATCATGCTCAAATATTTTGTATAAAAGCTTGAATTGTATTTATGTTAAGACTATTTTTTTTAATTTAATCTTCATAAATCTGTTTTCTTATTTATTTGTATTTATATACGGATTGCCATTTTAATCAATCCACTGAAATAACTTAAAAATATACATCCTAGAAAGAAAATTGAACTAAAAGTCAGAGGATCACAAGATTCGGTTATTGGCTTCATTGTAGATGATGCTACAATCAGTGAAAACGGTCAACTTTTTCTTCTTCAATAGAAACCTTCCTCATTTTTTTAGGTATTTTCTGGTTAGTAGGGTGCCATTCAATTGAAGTGATCCAACTCACGTGTATTAAGTTGATAATTGGTTCAGAGAGGATTTTCCAAATGGGTAGGTTAGGTTTAGGTTAGAGTTAGATTGCATCAATTGACTGGCATCCTGCTAACCGATAAGTACCTTTTTTTTTATTGAATGTTATGATTCTGCATTTAAAAAAATGAACTTTTATATGAAATATTTTTTCTGCAAGGTACAGTTATCAGAAGTTCAAGTGTTTATAACTTCTAATAATTGCATCTTTGGAAAAATATTTCAGATAAATAGTTGTTTTGTGATTGATTGTTTTTTATATGGGATTATAATACACAATAAAAAGTGAGGATTCCCATTTAAGAAAATGAAGTTGACCCTATTTTCATCAGTTGTAGCTGTCCATCTATTATGAAATCAGAAGTCCTCCTAAAGTTTAACATTTTTGGTTCAATGATGTTTTTTCATAGGGTGCATATAAAATAAGTAGATGAATACAACCTTAAATTATTTTGGTAAAGTAGCTGAAGCAGTGCTTATAATTGCCTACATAGAAGATGTCAAAAACAATGAAATTAAGCTTATGTAATATGTGAATGTCTTGTACTGTTTCTTACATGCAAATAACTTTAAACAAGGATTTTGAAGAAAAAACAGAGCACCTGTATGTAGGAGATATCCAAATATAATATTGTTTATTTTCATCAACCAAACATCTACAAAGGCTTCGTGTCTAGAAAATGAAATTGAGAATAAATTTAATGTATTTAAAATTTCTGCATTTAAGGGGCTGTCAAATGATATCCACACTGGAAGGGAGGAAGGGGTTATGACAAGGGGAGTTGAAATTCAATGGACATCCATTTTATTTCATTAAATTTTATAGTTATGAATTTTATTATTCATATAGTGATAAAGGTTTTTGGAGAGATTGAATTTTGTTGGGTTTCCAAAGAAGAGAGATGGGACAATGGGGAGGGGGGTAAAAATTTCAGGAAAAATACAGATGTAATTTATGGACCGCCCCTAATCAGCATTTTTTTGTAAATTTTAAAAATGAAATCCTTGTTGAATTAGAAAGCAAAATAATTCAAAAAAATAAAAAGAAAGTAAAACCAAAAATTATCTTATTTAATTTTCAAATTGGAATTAAAAGCTATATCCTCTATTCATGAATTAGCTAATGTGGACTAATCAGACAAGGACAATTTATTTTCAGTTTTGTAAGTTCTTTATAGTAATGTCAAATATGCATTTTAGACAAATCCTCTCATCAGTTTGACCTATTAGCACATTACAATTTAAAAATTATAGTACATACATAGATAATGTGTTCCAGAACATCATGTCAAATTCCAATAACACAATTTGTTTTGTAACACACTGTATAAATATGTAATGTTTAAATTATTATATTTTCATGTAATAGATCAAATTGACGAGGGGCAATGTTCAAAATGCATCTTTAACATTACATCAACAATAAAGCACTTCCAAAACAGCAAATAAACCTTGTTCTCATTTGATTAGTCCATATTAGCTAACTCACAAATATTAGAGAGGTTGCGGCCGACGTTTTTATTGCAAAAACGTGTACGTTGGACGTTCAGCGCCACCTTCTTGTAAGCCTAGAAGTTTGACAATGGCATTTGGAACATCAGTGGAATCATGCTTGACGTTCCAAATGCCATTGTCAAACTTCTAGGTTTACGAGAAGGCGGCGCTGAACGTCCAACGTACACGTTTTTGCAATAAAAACGTCGGCCACAGCCTCTCTATTGTATACAGCTTTTATTTTTATTTTCAACATTATTTTGGGATATTCTGCTTATTTATTACTTTTTAAAACTACATTTAGTGTATGAATAGAAATGACTTGGAATGTATATTTATTTTATATATTTTGAATTAATTTTTAACTGAAATTAAACATAACTTTCATAAGAACAAGTTTTACATTATTTAAGAATTTTATTAGCATCTATTCTGAAACTAAAGTTATGATAAAATAAAAGTAAAATAAATATTAATATTCGTTTTATATTAATATTAATCTTTACTTGTTTACTTTTCTTTTTTTATGTTCTTATTAGTGAAAGAGAAAAGTTTCTATTTTACTCATAAATATTTAGTATTTTCCATTATTTGTGAAATGCAAAATTAATTAATAAATGCATATTTTATTCATAAAATATTTATAGTGAGTTTATATATACATGCAAATAACAAAATAACTTATTTAGTTGTGAATATACTTTAATAATGAAATAGTTATTTTGAAATTTAAAATGCATTTTTCTTCTTTCTCATATTCTTAACTTTGATGCGAAATTAAATTAGCTACTGTAATAAATTTGTATCTATTTGATGATCACCTCATTTTCTTCACTTTTTAGTTGATACTTTCAAAGTTAACCAAAATTTAATTTTTTTCTCTTAATGAAAAGTGTGCTTTTGTAAGCTCTGTATTATGGCTAAAACTTGATCAAATTTCTAATCTGATACACATTTTTATTTTACTTTCCTGGCTATTATGAATAATTTGGAAAGTATTAGAATCATATCAGATTTGACCCTCTAGGTTTTTTGCAAATCTTGATGTTTTGAGATGAACTGAACCCAAAACACAGTCAAAAAATGGAGAAAAATTCTGTGTATTGGTATCTATTTCATTTAATCTGCTTTACCCTTTCTGATGTAAGTCTCTTATTTTCGGTATCATCACATCACAATCTGTTGATAAACAGGATAAAGAGATGTATACATTAGATTGGATAAAGGTTAAGAAACAGAATTTGGCATGGTAACTTATATATTAGAGGCATTGAAATTTGGATGGTTAAAGATAAAGGGGACTGTGTTGTATCTCAAGTGGATTGAGCTTAATGGAAACTTTATATACCATTGGCATTTACAATTCTTTAAAAAACTTATCTCTACCCTCAAAATTAAACCTTTTGTCTTTTTATAATAATTAATAATACAAAATTAACTTTTGTAATAACATCTTGTAACAGATGACACCATACACAATTTTGTGCTAATGTGTCATTGTTTCTTAAGCTTAAATATTTTTCATTGGGAAAGTTATGCAAATGATTACTAGATTTCTTTAATTTTAGTAAGGAGGCTGTTTAGAATAGAAATGAGTATTTCTGTTGTAAATTCTAAAAGTTGGTGATTGATTTAAATTTGCAGCTTTCTTCTATATTCTTAGAATTCCAATTAATTTATTGTAATTGCTCTATAATAGTTTTAAAGCTATTTGTAGTAAAAATATATGCCTTTTATTCAATAAATTTACTATATTTAGTTGTAGAAAATTACTTTAGTGAAATATAGTGTTATATTTATATTTTATGATTGAATAAACTGACAGTTTATTTTTGTTTTCCAGGAATTTATTGGTTTACTCAACAAAGTATATGTAATATCAGTTCATATGGAATAATAAAAGTATTTAAGACTAATGTGATAAGATTTTAACATTTCGAAGGATAAAGTGAAGTTACTATATACAGTAAAATTTCAGTGAGTTGATAAAATACAAAAGTTTGAGCAACTAATTATTTTTTATTTAAAACATTAAGTAAATATATTTGTTTAAAATCGAGAACATTTAAAACAATGGTCCTTCTAGAAATTTAAATTAATTTAACCAATAAAATAATTAAGTTTTGAATATGAAAAAAGTCTGTTGGTTATTTATTAAAGTTTAAAGTAAATTTTAAAATGATAATTTTTTGATAGATACAAGATAGATTATATAAACAAAATATGTAGCTTTAAAGCACTAATGGAGTTTAAGTTTTTATAAATATTTAGGGAAAAAAGTTATTCAATTCTTAAATTATATGTAGTTGTATTTAATATATGTAGAATATTTATTAATTTTTGAAGGAGATTTGGTTTAAAATAATGATTTATGAGTTATGTAGAATGACCATTGTTAATTTTCTTATATAGGATTAATTTGTTCTTTCATATAAATTTGATTAACTGAAAATTTAAATAAAATTTGTTGGTTATTTTATGGAATGAGTTTTCAAATCCTGCTGCGATACAAACAAAATCCCATACTGAATAAATTGTCATACATTTGATTAAAATTTTACTTCCTTACAGATGTTAAAATAGACTTGGATTTCATTTTTATTAATACATATCTGATTGCATAGAACAAATTCTGCTAGATTGTAGTAAAATGATAACAATATGACACCTTTTTCTGTTGAAATATAGTCAATTATGCAAATTACATCTAAACTATTTACTATATAATTATTAAAAGCAAATACACTTTATATATATAGAAATTGCAAATAATTTAGAAATTATAGTTTTTATTTTGTCAAATATAAAATTAATTTTCTAGCATTATTATGAATAATGTAATTGA